CATCGTTTATGCGATAATCGTTTGATCAGGGCGCATCTCATAATTTATTTAACCGGTGCTCTTTCATTGACTCGCAACCGAGTTCCACACTTGGAAGTAGTGAGGGTCACCGAGAATCCCTCTTTCTCACTTTAAGTAAAGTGAGTGGCACGTCTTCGCAGTCTTATCTGTCACGCGGCCAGGAAGGAAAATTTTAGAGACAACACTTACAAATACCAAAACCTAATTAAGAACATTCAAAGTCACGAACTGCTAAATATTTTCATGGAGAATTTGTTAGGCAGTTATGGGAAATTGAACACAATTTGCCTGTAATTTTGAGCAAGTGTACATAAACATAGCTTTGAAATGTGCATATAAATAATTTATGGTACAGGTTTCAATCAAAATTTACACATAATTACTTTAAATTTATAATAGGATTTATCTAATTTATACTTTAAGAACACATGTTAAAAATATATTAAATATAGCTTTTATTATAAATTTGTATTGAAAAAATAAAAGTCAAATTTTAATTTATTAAGTATTCAATTAAATTCATTTGAAATTAAAATTAATATTAACTTTTACATTTTTTTATATATGTTTATAATAAAAATATTGTTTACACCTAAAATAAACCAATAGGGTAAGGCCACGTGTCAAGGTAAAGCCCAATTATTAAGAAAATCAATGGGCGGACCCTGATGTCTGCGTTTTTTGTGGTGGATACTGTTGCTACTTATAATGCACTTTTGGGGCGTGACTGCTGGAAACTTCCTCCATGAATGTCGGTACTGTTCCTCCATGATCTGGTAGTGGGGTTCATGTCTGGGATCTTGCCCCAGCCAAGTTAGATGATTTAAAAGCTGAAGTTCAAGACCCACTGGAGGAGATCGAACCCACTTAAGTGTGCCTTTGGAGTGTCTGCGGGTAACTTCCTTGGGTACTTGGTGCATGAGCGTGGTCTGGAGGTTGACAAGAACAAAGCAGACGAATTTCCAAGGAGGTTGGATCCTAGGTGGCAGAAGATAAGATGGAATCTGGTAGTTTGGGTTGCCCTTTTGATTCGGTTAGTTCTTCTTCTTTTTATGAATTTGCTGATTCCCTTGCCCCCCGAGTGTTGGGATTGGGGCTTCCTGAATCTGTCTGGGCATCTCAACGACTGGAGGAGGGATCTCAGGTTTGGGCTGTCGCCTGTCTACTTGAACTGCTTTTTCAGCAAAATAGGCCGCTAATTTCTTTGTTATCTCCAACACGGCCGATTCTGGCCTTGTCTGAGTTTAATTTGAAGTATATACCACAGAGGGCACTTGAGGTGGGTGCTTGAGGCACAAAGATCAGACGCTTCACAATACAATGTGGAGAGGCGTCTAAATCCATAAAAAGAAGAAGAACTAACCGAATCAAAAGGGATAGCTACACCAAAGGATGAGTATCCTATGCCAATTGCAGACTTGTTGATAGATGGAGTAGCCCGTCAAGCGTCCAATATGTTCAATAGTGGACTGACCAACCTCACACCCATTTTGCAGAGCTCTACCCTCTGTTTTGCAACATCGTTTGGGGCACAAATCCTCTGTTCATACATTCAGAGGCGTCTGGAGCCATACCACCGAGAAAGAGCAAAGATAAAGAGCTTCAGCCAGCCGAACTTCCCTCAACCTCCATCTGCTGCTGTTGTCTTTTTCGCTCTTCAGCCCTCTTGCGCTGCAGTCTGCGCCTCAAGGTTCTGGTTTTTAGACAAAGCAAGTGGCACGCCTAACATCCAACTCACGTGGTAAAGGCTGGCTGAGGATTTTTGGGGAAACAAATATACAATAAATACAATTTTGTTCTATACTTTTAGGAGATAATATAAAAAAACCCCTTTGTAATATGCCCCTAAATTTTTTTCATTTTTCTTGAGATCTTTTTATATTCTAAATGAAAGTATTTAAGACATTTTACACAACCTCCAAACAAGTAATGCGTAGTTTAAATATCATCAAATGTTAGAAAAAAAAAAAAAAAGAACGAAAAGAAAAAGGGAAAAAGTGACAACCAAATAGGCTCAAGTACAAACGTGTAGCAAATATTTTTTTGGAACTATTACAAAAAAAAAACCTCTACACAAGGCAAGGGGGACAAGGTGCCCCTGCCTAGAGCCAAATAGGCCCAACGCCCAAGTCCAGGCGTGTAACCATTAGGGATGAAGCCTGAAGGGATTTGTAACGTGCAATTTCTCTTAGGAATACTTCCAAGCTAAAAGTACGTAGTACTGTATACTTAGTACTTGTTATAACAACATACCTAACACTGCATTGTAAATTATGAGAATTGA